TCTGGCTTGTGCATCACCTGCTTCATAGGTTGATCTGTTGGGACTTTGATAGTATGAGCTTGGAAGTAGGGTCTTAGTTTTCTGGCAGTTGTCACTAAGGCTAAAACGAATTTTTTCATTTTAGGATACCTTTCTTTTGCCCCCCTTAGAGCTCGGCTACAATAGTAAACTGGTTGCTGAGCTCTGTCCTTCTCCCTTACTAGCGCTGCGTTGGTTGAGAACTTTGAGATAACCAGGTAAAGGGTAAGTACTTCTCCTTCTAATGGACTTACCAAGACAGGTGGGGAACTCAAGTATTCTTTCAATGCTTTGAAGGCTTCTTCACATCAAGCATCTCATTGAAAGGCTTTCTTTAAGACTTGAAAGAAGGGCTGACACTTGTCGCTTGATCTGGAAACAAAGCGACTCAGGGCAGCTATTCTCCCGGTTAAACGTTGTATTTCCCTCGTGTTGGAGGGAGGTTGCATATCTAACATTGCTTTTACCTTTTCTAGGTTAGCCTCTATCCCCTTGCTATTAACTATGAAGCCCAGAAATGTTCCTGTTGACACCCCAAAGGCACACTTAGTTGGGTTGAGCTTCATTTTGTATTCTCTAAGGACCTGAAACGACTCTGCTAGGTGTCCAATGTGGAGCTATGTCTTTAGTGACTTGACCAGCATGTCGTCAATATAGACCTCCATAGAGGTCCCAATCTATTTTTGAAACATCTTATTTACCAGGCGCTAGTAAGTGGCTCCTACATTTTTTAACCCGAAAGGCATCACTTGATAGCAGTATGTCCTTTGCTCAGTTATGAATGAGGTTTTCTTTTGGTCACTAGAATCCATCCTGATCTGATTGTACCCAGAGAAGGCATCCATGAAGTTGAGGAGCTCATGTCCCGTAGTGGTATCTACAATTAAATCTATCCAGGGTAAAAGAAAACTATCTTTCGGGCAAGCACGGTTGAGGTCTGTAAAGTCAATGCAAAGACGTCATTTGCCGTTTGTCTTCTTGACTAGAACTACATTGGCTAGGTAGAATGGGTAATCCACTTCTCAAATGGCTTTCGCGTGAAGGAGCTTGTTGACCTCTTCGTTGATGGCTTTCTGACATTCCGGGGCGTAGCTCCTCCTCTTCTTCTTAACGGGTTTACAGGCTGGATTCACGCTGAGCTTGTGAGTGATGACAGAGGGATCAATCCCTTTCATCTCCTCTTGCTTCCATGCAAAAACTTTCTTGTTCCTTTTAAGGAATTGGATGAGGAGATCCTTGATCTCCTTGCTCAGCTTGGATCCAACATACACAAGATACTCTGGCTCCTCATCAATTTGAACAGGTTCCAACTCTTCTGATGGTGTTGGCCTAGTGTCGAGTTCATCCCTCATGTCAAGCTCATCCAATTGGATGCTCTCAACCTCCTTATTTCTCATGGATGCCATACTAGCTTGGGGGTTCTTTGAGATGAAAAATATTAGATTTTTTGACTGAACTCCCAAACCTGCTATAAAGGCTGTAATAGCAAATTTTTCATCTGGGATATCCACCTTCAAGGATTTTGAGTTGAACCATTGGACATAAGACCGTAGGTTCTCATCAGGTACCTATTTCACATTTAACAAATGGTAGCTCGGTTTTCTATAGGTTCGAGCTCCGATGAAGTGGGACACAAACGAGTTTGACAGCTCTATAAAAGAGAAAATCGAGACTGGGGGGAGTCTGTTGAACTATGCCAAGGCTGAGCCCATTAGGGTGATAGCAAAGGCCCTGCATCTCATTGGATCTTGATATCCATGCAACTCCATTTAATTTTTGTAGGTGTTGAGGTGGTCCATGGGATCTTTTGTCCCATTGAAAGCATCCACCTGCGGCATTCTGAATTTAGGTGGGAGAGAGAAGTGCAGCACCCCAACAGTGAATGAGGATTCAAGTTGCTGTACCAAGGCATCCATAGTGACTGGGGCCTTGCTCTTCACTGCCTCCTTCATCTGGCTGAGTTCTTGCTGGATGTCTTTGAAACGTTGCTCCCAATGGTGTTCACTCCTCTCCCCTTCCTTATATTGACTTTGCACTTCCTTGTTGTGACCATTCCTAGGGGGTAGGCGAGGTTCTTGCCCCAAGGTCTTGCTATTCTGTCCCCCCTCATTAACTTCTCTGAGGGGGTCAAGATATGGTTGCTCCCTTGGTGGTGTATTATTCTGGCCTCCTTGGGCCGGTCGCGCCTCCTCTGGGCGTTGTAGGAGCTTTAAGAGTTCTTCGTTTTGTTTTATCAAACGTTCATTGACAAGACAAAGGGCCTCCATCTCATTCTTCATGGGAAGGCCTCCCATGGGGGGATCGACTTCTTGCGCGTTTTCGGGTTGTTTGCTATTTGCAGCTTCCTATTGATCTTGCATCCGTAGAGGATTGGTCTAACTTCGGCTCATGTTTCGTGTTGATACCATCAGTTACTAAAAAATCAACTTTATTTGTAATAAGAACAGTCGTTCCATAGACGGCGTCAAACTGATGACGTTAACGCACTTTTACAAAAGATGAGCTGGGATTACGTTAGGTTGCTAAGATGATGCAATAATATCCAGGGCTTTGGAAGTTAAGACAACAAAATTATAGTGGTTCACAAGCTTGGGAGTTCGGTTAGTCCACTCTGAAATGGAGGCTCTTGCTCTTTTTGTTTTATTCACGGTAATTACAAGGTTGTTATGACTTCTTTTTGCCACTAGGGTTCCCCCCTCTTTGGGGGTGTTACCTTGCATTTATAAGGTCATTCCTTGCTAAGAATGATCTTAGTCGAGATTTTTGCCCTTATTTCGTGGGGTTCTCCTTAATTCTAAGAGAAGATCTTGGTTGGTTGAGATTGGCTGCCTTGATTACAGCTTCTCAACGCTTTAGGATCCTCTCATGGTTATCTAACTGTTATCTTGCCTTAAGAGACACTCGGCCCTTACCCTCTAACGTCTGCTATTGTGCCTGACCTCCTGGTCCGACCTGACCTCCTGAGCTTAACACTTAAAATTTATTTTAGGTATCATCAAACTCCATCTGCAAGAAACCAAGAAAATCATGTTGGATAAGCAAAAGCCAGCACATACGTAATCAAGAATTTATTAAGGACATACTCTTTTGCCACTCATATTGGACTCGCCATCTCCAGAGGAAGCCTTCAATTCATTAACGCCATTCTGGACTCTAATAACAAAGTTTTTCATAGCAACAGGATCATCAGCCCTCAGTTTCATTCCACAACCTGTTTCATTTACAACACTTCGTTAGTGATAATTTGATGATCAACTAGTAAATAAAAAGGCAGATCAACAAACGACGAGAGTATTGTATGCTATAATGATCATAGAAATTTAGACCGTTAACTCCAAAAAAGAGGAATGAAATATGTCTACATACATAAGTATGTGTGTGTGTTTGTTTGTGTGTCTGTGTGTGTTTGTACATCTGTGTTTGTGCGTGTATATATATATATATAGAGAGAGAGAGAGAATGTCATGTTGATAATTATCGAGGAAAAAAAGCAAATGCATTTTTTATTCAAGCAGAAGTAATATAGTTACTCAATTAAAATTCCATAATGAATGCGTTAATATCCCATAAGCAAAACCAATAAAAATCTTTTTAAATTTTTTTGACTTTTTTCGGAAATGTGTGATGTTTGAACAAGACCACAAGCAAAAACTTAGTGTAAGTTACGTAAATTCACTTACATTGTAAAGTTGTCAAGATAGTAGACACATCAATCTCCATCAACCGCTTGCTCAGCATTATCAAGAAATCGTATATCAAATCACTGAAAAGGATCACCACCATAGCTGTTTTTAAGATGGATTTTGATAAAACAAGCAAAAATATTGACCAATATGGTAATTAAGAGTAAAGGCTTAAATAAGAAAGGAAGGACAAGATAGAGTAATCAATTCCTACAACTGGATTAAGGGAAAGTAAAAGTCAGCCCCAATATCTCGCTTCAAAAGAAAATAACTTCTACCAGTTTCGCAAAAGAGCAACAAATTCACATTTTGCAGAAGTATCATCCAAAAAACTTGAAATCTTCTACACCTTATCTATACATGGCTGCCATGGCATCTCTCTATCTATCTGACAAGTCCTAACAATTAAGGGGAATAATGGGTTGGGTCAAGTGTAATGGATCTTGTGAAGAATTTCTACAATCTGCTAAAGGTTCAGGTGATTTTTGTTTTACATGTTTAGCCTTGCAAAAGGTGGGGACAACTGAAATAGATTGCATTTTTCAGCCCAGCCAAAGTGAGTTATTTAGTTTAGGATAGCACAATTATAGTGGTGTGGCTATGAAACTGGTATTGTGCACCAATAACTTAAAGTATTAATTGTTCAATAAAATCGTTTTTGCTCTTTTACCCCAACCTTAAACCCCTAGTTGATCTCCTAGTCAACTCTCTAATAGTTAGTAATCTTTGGGAGACCCATTATTGATGAATAGAATTATATTTTCTAAATACTTACTCTGTTGAAGAAAATTACTTGCTGCCATACGATTTTTACCACAAAAGTAAAATATGAATGCACATTTGCAAGTGACATGTTTCACAAAAGAAAGAAAGTCAAAATTTGACGGACAGTAAAAGTAAACTAACAACCTTGGCACTTCTTTAAAAACAATTATGGAGAAAGAAAATGAATTTATTTGTCCTTCGGAAATTTGGTAGAACTATCCAACAGTAGTCACTAATAAGACAATGTGACATCATCCTATAGGGGTGTTTGTGGCATGTTACTGAGAAGGCAAAGTGATTGGCGTGCCATACTCCATGCCTTTTCATAATTATGACAGCAGTTGTTATTTGTTTTGGCATGGTGCAATTGTCACACATCAGTCCACATGTTGGCAATCGGAGTAATAGAATAGAAGCTGCACCCACCCAACCATCCAAAAAAAAAAATTAGTTATAAAACATTAGTAGCATCTTCAGTTGATTGCCTAATCTTATTTCTGACGAAAGTAATGAATGTTCACACATATGGAAATGTCAGTGAGAAGAAATTGGCCTTGCCACGGGGATGGTTATATCAGCAGACTCAACCTGACATGAAGTTTCACATCAGCTTCTGGAGTTATGTTATGCAACTTTCTTGAAGTCAATTATTACTTTCACTTCTGTTAGTCAAATGATCAAACTGACATACGTTACCCACCTTGAGCAAACTCCAAACATGTATAAATAGGATACCAGAAGAGTCAGATTTCGCAAAGGAAAGATGGTCTCCTTCCAGATACTCATCCTAATCACAACACAAAAACAAAGATATTACTAACTTTCCAAAAAGTTGAACTACATACCAAGGAACTTTTTTCTCTTTTTTGAGAAAAAGACTAACATGCGATGGGCACTATAAGCTCGAATTAATCCCATGCCACTAGATACCAATTTTTGGTAATTCATCAAATTTTGATCAGTCATTAGCAAGCCAAATACTGTCAAAAGTAAAAATGAATGAAGAGCTCTTGGTAAATGATGATACACCTCAAAGCATTTAGCAAGTGAAGCAAGAAGCTTTGCACCAAAGTCAATCCCAACTAAACAAGCAATCCCGGCAACAAAAGCTGCAAAGACAGCAACATACCTTCAAAAAGAGACAAACACAAGCTTGACAGTGTCAATGCACAAACGTGTAAAGAGAAAGAAAACAGAAAAAAAAAAAAAAAATTAAAGCATAAAGGTCCAACTGTCCATTTGTACACTATAGAAGATAATAGAAATGGCATCAAAAAAAAAATCAGACATAGCATGATTTTTCTTCAAAAATCATGTAGAAGAAGAAGTGTGCATGCGGTGATAGCGACAATCCTGAAATCAGAATGTATCAAGCTACAGGAGAAAACCCAAAACTTACTTTCAAGAATTCAAACAAAAAAACAATCATAATTATTTCTGATGGTCAAGCCAAAGGCCCAACTCATGTTATAAGCCCAATTTAAGTTTATAATCTGATTCCAAGAGATCCAGCAAATCCAGGCCAGTGTGGCCAACTCAGTCAAGCTCATTAGCTCAACCCGTTCAAGCTCATCAGTGTGGTTAACCCGGTCAAGCTCAGCAGCTCAAGGAGTTAAGGGAGCAAGCAAGGTCATCCAAAACCCTATCCTCGTTGCCCTGGAGATGGTCAACACCCCATATCATCCTTTGACCGAATTTCATGGAGAGCACCGCAACTACCTAGCACGTTAAGAAGAGCTCGCCAGATCCAACAAACTAGCCAACTATTTACTAATATCTTGCCCAAATCTGTTAGGAGAGCAACTATAAATTGTAAGCCCCACCAACACTTGAAGGGCAGATCATATTTTACCTGAGCACGACTCTCTCCTTTCCCTCAAAACTTGTACTATCTGCTCTCCACACCCTTGAGTTAATAAAAAACCCAACAATCAGAGCCATTGAAGAGTAGACGTAAGTCGAACCGACCGAACTACTATAAATTGTCTGTGTCTCTCCATCTCCTGATATTATTTTCTTGCATTTATTATTTACACTTGACAAGTGATGTAAAACCATTTTGTGCATCATCAATTTCCTTCATTGTGCACAATGGCAAGTCATACAAATTGGAAACCAGTCACCCAGGCTCTATCCTTAGAAAGTGATAGAAACACGCCTAGTGTGTCAATCCTAAGAAAGCTATTTGCAACACAAACACAATAGCATTCAGGGTATCAAAAGCTTCCTATCACAAAATCTGAAAAGTACACGAGGCAGAAAATAGTAATGGAATTTTGGACCAACCAAACATCAAGAAAACTAAGAAGGCATTACAGAGTAAAGAGTAAAATAGTACTGTAATGCACATAAAGCTCTCCATCCTGCCAAAGTACAAAATAGTGGATTTCCTCAAAATCCTTGGTGATTGAAGCTCAATAAGATGCTAAAAAAATACCCAGTCCCTCATATAAAAGATCTTTATCACCTATCACCAAATAAAGGTCATTCTTAGATTGAACAGCTCTTTGTAACAGATGTACGAATTGTTGAATTCAACTTCTCCTCAAGCAAGACTTTTCAAGCCAAAATCATCGTCAAACATCACTATGACCACTAGGGCCAGATAGAGCTAAAAAATTGAGAATAAAAATCTGATTAAGTTGGAGCTGTTTTAATGCTGTTCGACAAGACTGTTATCAGAGCCTATAAACAGATGAAATTCATAGGAACGAATTCAAATACTGAATGTTGGCATAAGAACGAAAAAAAAACAGCTAAACAACTTGATTAAGTGATTAACTACTCAAACAATAAACGTATCATATTCATCAAACAATTTGTATATATATGATCCATGAATGGGATGCAAACCTAATTAAGAGAAAGGAGAAAAGGGACCAGAACTAGAGGAAAGGAATAAATGAACTCTCAACTGTTCATTGCCACGAGGACCACCAGAGCACGATGCCAAAATCTCTTCACTGATAATCTGAGAACTAGCACTACGACTGACAGCCTGCAAATGGGAATAATCAGGCCAAATAATGAGAGTTAAATAACAGGCTCGTCTTCCACGGTAATTTATAGAACAAATGCTTGGTATCAGTGCAATGGCAAAACTACAACGCATGTGACAAAATCACTTAATTCCACCAAGACCGGTCTCACTATCCTATTGGCAATTGGAATATTTGATGCAAAAATAAAACAATAAAAATCCTTCATAATCTAGCCTTGACACATAGGCAAACACAATTCCATGATAGGATTACATTTATCACCATAACAGGTGCATCTATTATACTAATTCAGTTATAAAATTGATCTATTCTTGGATCAAACGTTTAGTTCAGGATTTCTTTTTATAATTTGATAATTGCAAATTACAAATCATCGGGATCATGTATAATTATCAGACCCATCTGAGCACCCAACATATGTGGGATCACACTGGGTAATTTCGTTTTCTCTTCCAAAAATTGGGAAATATTGTTAATGGTAAATAGTACATAAAGAAACACCAACTATTGAAGAAATTGAAAAGAGGAGAAAAACGTATCAGCGAAGTGAAAAAGCTTACACCGAAGATCGTGGACATTTCCCTAGTGATTGATTCCACGTTAGCTTCAGACAGCCGATTTAGAAGACGTGCCACAAGTTGAGTTGTAACAAATGTATCATGTTTCAGAATGAAGGGGGTATACATGATGCCAAAACAAAAAGCCAATTATCATACCTCGTATTTGTTTACGAATTTGATAGTACTCCTCTGATTCATTTCCCACACAGGATCTCAAGTGAGGAGCTACATAGTTGGCATTCTTTTCCAATGCAGGTGCCTTGATAGGAACATTTCTTATAGCCAACTCTGCATCAGAAGTTTTTACTGGTTCAGATACTCCAGCCAGTGTGTCACTTGCCATCTCAATTTGTGGCCCTTGCCCTGAAGACTTTACCCTTTTACATTTCTTAAGTGAAGAACTGTTCTCAGGGCTCTTCATGAGAACTGCTTCATCCTTTGAATTAACAACATCCTTTAACAAATCAATAATAGATGGCATTCCCGCAAATAACGCATTCATGTCATCATTGTCTCCCCGCAATTTTCCTTCCTTCAACTTGAGTTTCTTTGCAAGTTTTCTTTCCAAAGCCAAATCTTCGTCTGCTGAAACAACACCTACCTGCATTTCCATTTCAAGATACTCTTCAAACTTCGTTTTCTTCTTCAGCATCTTCTGTGAGGTAGAACCTAGTTTACTCGTAGATGTGCTTGGCATGGTAGGCTACTCTGTGCCATCATTTTTCCCACGACCACCATCTACTAGGTCAGATGTTCCATCCACAGTGTCACTTGCCACCTCACCCATTACTTCTTGCTCTATGGACTTACTTTTCTTAAGCTTCTTACGTGAAGTTTCACTATTCAAGATCTTTTTGGAAGATTCTTCAGCATATAGGGTTTCTTCTTTCTCTAAAGAATCAACAGCAGAAGGAATTCCCTCCAGTAACGTACTCGTGTCATCATCCAATCCCCGTAACTTTCCATCCTCCTTCACCTTGAGCTTTTTTGCCAGTTTCCTTTCCAATCTCAAATCCTCCTCCTCAATAGAAACACCACCTCCCCTTGTATCCATTTCAAGATACTCTTCAAACTTTTTTTTTGACTGTTTTGTTACATCCTTTTTTCGTTTCACAGCCTTCAATGCACTAGAATCACAAACTCTCAAAAATTAGGATTTAAACTTAGATTTTTCCACCATGGCTATGGTTTGATGCTCCAAGTTATGACCAGTTTGGTCCTGAAAACTTGGCAACAAAAATTCTTTCTGTTTTGATAGTTGGATTTTGTTCTGCAATTTCGCATGTACTCGCTTCGAATTCTTAGAAAATTTCTTCACTTTTCAAGATTTCTGTCACAACAAACAAGAATTCGTATCACCATTTACCCAAAAAGAAAATGGTGTAAAAATATAAATAAAAAGCAAAAAAATTGTCTATACTTGATGTCCAACCTATGAATCAAACCTTTTCTTCTTCTTCGCTAACCGAGCTTCTTTTCTTTGCGTCTTACAAGACTTTACCACCGGCTTATTATCTGCAGTTGAATCAAAAAATTCAAAGAAAAAACAAAAACTTTCTTCATGATTCCAGAAAATAAAGCCAAATTGAACAATTATATTTAGGTTATGAACAGATTAATCTTACCCATGCTTAAGGATGTCAATGGACCGAACCAGGGTGGGGGTATAGTTTTCATCCCCGTACCCACTTAAAAAAATTTCGTCCATTCTCGATTCACCTGGTTAACAGGTATAATTTTCATTTCTATCTCCGTCCGCGGGTAAATTTATAATTCTCGTCCCGTCCCCATACCCGCTCAAACCCAAGCCCAAGCCTAAGCCCAAATTCAAGCCAACATAATCCAAAATTCTAAATAAATCCAACATTTTAAATAATCTAACACAACATAATGTAACATAACATATTCGAACATAACATAAACAACAAATGTCCAAAATACTACTTTAATTTGACATAATTCAACATTCTACAACATAACACAAATAACATAATGGGTGGTAGAATCATCTCTTAACACCATCGATGGTGGCAGAATATGAGGGTTGAACTCTGTACCACTTTCCATCAGTGTAAGACAAGATAAAGATAATTGGCATTAACAAACAAGTGTACTTATCTAGAATCATGTTTCTTTACTAACAAAAAGGGTGAGCACCTAAATATATTCTTAACTCTACTGATGTTGCAAATTAATCAACGCAAAAATAGAAACCCAAAAATTGTTCAGTGCTCCTTTCTTCCCCTACTTATTACCCAACAAGTACATGCGATTTTAATAATGATGTTTTAAGAGCTCCATTAGTACCAATTGCCAGGACAACAAATAAGCAACAATCAACTTATGAATGCAATTCAAAAGAAAAAGAAAATCTTCATTTTGGATTCAATGTGCTCTGACGCTCACATAATATAATATATAATATAATAGCAGATTGATACCATAATATGAGCTTCATGTATAATAGCAAATTATATGTATTCTGAAGCTCACATAATATAATAGCATATTGATACCAGATTTATATTATAATAGCATAATATAATATAATTGGGCTTGGGCTTGAGCGGGTACGGGAGAAATGGGAACGGGGACGAGGATTATAAATTTACCCGCAAACAGGGATGAGGATGAAAATTATACCCATTAACGGGGGTGGACCGTGAATGGACGAAGGTTTTTTAAGCAGGTACGAGGATAAAAACTATAACCCCCGCCCCCGCTTCAGTCCATTGACATCTCTAAATTCAACTAAATATATATAAAATCTATAGATCCATCAAATCAAAAACATAATGGACAATCTCCCAATTGATCCATGGTGATTAACATGGACACTGAAAAATGAACAACCCACTCAAAAGCTCCTTCGGTCATTTCATCTTGCAACTGGTGATCAATGTTCTAAATGCTCTGGCTCCTCAAAAGTTCACAAGACAGACTCAATTCTCAATTCTATTTCTTACAGTATGATTGTATTATATACGGGCAGCCCTATTTCGCACTCCCAATCTTGTATTATCACACTACGCCCATTGTTCACATGAAGTTAATCACAATTGTATACAGGCATGTTTGTATAATTATAGGTTTTCTCATTCAAATTGAATTCTGTTTTTCCAAACTAATTTTGTTCTTTGTGGAGAACGGATGCGAATAGTGACGTTTGCATATGAATTCAAACTCTCAATCTCCTAACATACGGAATTTGATTTTCTTACTGTAGCGATCCATGATGGCATGATAGCAAGATAGTAGGTCCATCCTGAAAATTATGTCGTATCCAACTATTTCTAGGGCAACTAGGTCCACAACCAACTCGCTTTCCTCAATTCGGATTATGCAATTTCTACATACCCTAACTGTTTCCAAGAAATCTCATGTAGATAGGTTTATACACAATGTGCGACCCAAAAATTTGAATTCTAACCCTAAGGCAACAACATATGAAGTTTGAATGAAAGAATGGGTTGCCCCCGGATCAAATAAGATACGTGCCCAAGAATTATAAATAAGAACGATACCTTCAATTACTTCATTAGCAGAATCGTTATCCGGTGTAGCCATTACGTAGATCCGAGGTTGACCTTCGGGAATTGTTCTACTTCCTGGCTTTTTCTGTTGTGCCTGATTTGGAAACAACTGCGAAGGTCCAACATGGGTTGTCGGTCCTGTCATTTGAGTAGGATAAGGACGTTGTTGTGAACGAGGTTGATTGAATGGCTGATAAGAACCTGGATTGGCCGACCCTTGAGAGGACGTGAAGGGACACTGATTTTTAAAATCTCCAATTTTCCCACACTTAAAACACCATTTTGTATCATTGGATGCTCTGTTCCAATTTCCAGAATTTTGTCCCAGATTTGCACTTCTCCTTTCATTGTTATCTTGCCCTGGCCGTCGATATGGGTCATTCTTTGGTGACTACTACTGCCACCATTTCTTGTCTGACTTCCTCTGCCTTGTTGACGACTTCTGATATTCTGGGTATCCTCCATATCTCTTTCTACCAGCATATCCCTTTCCACCAATTTCTTATAGTTTCTTAGTGGGTGTGCTACAAGGCGTCCTCAGATTGAAGGCTTAAGGCCTTGTTCAAATTGTTTGGCCTTCTTGGCATCAATGGAAACTAATTCCGTGGCAAAACGAGAGAGTTTAGCAAATTTGGATGCAGATTGCATGACTGTCAGGTTGCGTTGTTGCCACTCCAGGAAGTCAGAGAACATTTTATCCCTTACAGACTCTGGAAAATATTTATCATTGAATACTTTCTCAAATGTGGTCCACGTCATTTGGTCTACGTTCCTTATTCTTTTGATTGTATCCCACTAGTGATCGGCTTCACCCACAAAATGATAAGAGGCCAAGGTAACTCGTAGTTCTAGAGTAATATTCATATCATCCATTACTTTTCTCACTTGTCGAAGTCACCTCTCTACATCAAGTGGCTATATACTTCCCAGGAAGGTAGGAGGATGTTGTCATAAAAATTTCTTGAGTATCATCATTTTTCGCGTTTCAACCACATTTGCTTGTTCCTGAACTGTTGGTTGCATTATCGTAGTATGGTTGTTATTTTCTACCTGTTTGCATGCCAAAGTGGTCAGTTCTCTCAGACACCAGTAAATACCACTTATAGTGTCCTACGGTGCTGGAGGGGACTGGTCATTGATGGACATCTCTGGTTGGTCTTGAGATGTGTTTCCCACCATGCTATAATACATAGTTTATGATATTATGACTGCATTTAAAAACTATAACCACATCCAAAGGTTAAGAAAAAAACTCTAATTTCAAATAATTAGTAACTACGATACATTTCGTTTCTTATCCTAGATGTTATTCACATGAAGAACAAAAGTCTAGGACAGTCACCTCTAAGTTATGTAGTGATACATATATTCCTACCATTCTAAGAGTTACAACTATTTACAGGCAAAATTTCTTAGAATAGTAAAACCGACTGTACAGTTAGGGACCAGGAAGTTCCATGTCCCTCCCCCCTGGAGACACATTAGTTCGCAGAACCCACAGAATCTACACGATGATTTGCTTCGGGTGGTGCAGCTACAGGGGCTACGTTGGGTTTGTGAGGTTATGGGTCGTGAGGTTGTAGGTCATATTCTTCATTATTGTCCAGATTAGGGGATTCTATTGGCTGCCCCTCATAAGTCCCCGCAGGTGGCCACTGAATGTCTTGTACTGGCAATTCATTCAGAATTTTCTAGAACAGGTTGTGATTCATTTCAATACTTAGTGTTTGGCGGAGCATCCTTAGCTGCGAGGTCACTCTGTGATATACTAATTTTTTCTGTTCAGAGAACGGCATGAATGACCAATTTTGGGACACATCTTGAATTTCGTGGACTATCAAATTGTAGGCCTCTATATTAACTCAAAGAGTCCGGTATTCACTAGCCGCCTCAGAGCCTATGTTACTGTGACCCATGTAAAGATCATCCCAAGATGTCATACCTATATTCATAAAAAGTTAGTTCTGTTGATAAAAAAAAAATAATATGTCTGTAAAACATGTTCAGTATTAGTAAATTAATCCCACTATTTAGTCTATATATATAATTCCCAATTAAGATCTGATTTCAGGCTCTGATACCACTTTGTCACGCCTTGATTTTTTTTTCTCCTTTAAAAAAAAACCCGGACATGATTAAAGAATAAAATCATACCAAACTTACAATAACCTTCCTTATATTATTTTATTTCGCGTAGGAAGTACATAATCCTCACAAGATCATTTCAAATATTCTTGATACAACATAAAGAGAAATAATAATAGCAGACTCTATTTATCATCCTTTCAGCCTATCCTCTAGCTCGACTTCATATATCTGAAAAATGTTAAATAAGGATGAGCTCACTAGCTCAGTAGAATAATGTTTATCAATGATTACCAAGATTTTAAAACAATGCATAATATAATTAAACCGCGAATAAATGCAGGAATATGGCAAAGTAATGAATCAAATAAATAAATAAATTTCAGCACATATCGATCATATCAATCCGTCAATTTTCTGGTCCACGCATGAACCGCCTCCAGAGAAAACTTTGGGGTCTTGCACCCTAGGGAACCCAATGTCCTTCTTGCTTTTCTGAAAACACCAATACTCGAAATTATGTGATGCCACACAGGCTACTAGGGCAACCGATATTATGAACCGGTGAACCCAAGAAATAGTAGAAATCTTATGAATCCTCGCAAGGATCACGCATCTACTAATCCTCTGCCCTCGATTATGTGCATTCATAGTAATTTCATCAAAATCACAAAATAAAGTCATATCGTAGTCAGACGCCATAGCAAATCAAACATTAAATATTAATAATGAAATAAACATTTATTATGCAACATGGTTTCATGAGATAATTATGGTCTCGATAAAAATACAATATGAGCATGATAACGATTTATTTATAAAACCCCAGTTTGACCCCATAATTATAACAATATAATATTACATTATATAATTAAAAATAGATTTGATATGAAATCCCCAAATATGCATAAAATGCATCAATGATAGTAAAAGAAAAAATAAATCCTACCACCTTCTTGACTTCTATTCGATACTGTGTACTGTGACAAAATAACCAAAATAATATTTTAG